GGCATGATGCTGACAACAACTGGCATGATGCTGACAACTGGCATGATGCTGACAACTGGCATGATGCTGACAACTGGCATGCTGCTGACAACAACTGGCATGCTGCTGACAACAACTGGCATGCTGCTGACAACAACTGGCATGATGCTGACAACAACTGGCATGATGCTGACAACTGGCATGATGCTGACAACTGGCATGCTGCTGACAACAACTGGCATGATGCTGACAACTGGCATGATGCTGACAACAACTGGCATGATGCTGACAACTGGCATGCTGCTGACAAAAACTGGCATGATGCTGACAACTGGCATGCTGCTGACAACAACTGGCATGATGCTGACAACTGGCATGCTGCTGACAACAACTGGCATGCTGCTGACAACTGGCATGATGCTGACAACTGGCATGCTGCTGACAACTGGCATGATGCTGACAACTGGCATGATGCTGACAACTGGCATGATGCTGACAACTGGCATGATGCTGACAACTGGCATGATGCTGACAACTGGCATGATGCTGACAACTGGCATGCTGCTGACAACAACTGGCATGCTGCTGACAACAACTGGCATGCTGCTGACAACTGGCATGCTGCTGACAACAACTGGCATGCTGCTGACAACAACTGGCATGATGCTGACAACAACTGGCATGCTGCTGACAACAACTGGCATGATGCTGACAACTGGCATGCTGCTGACAACAACTGGCATGATGCTGACAACAACTGGCATGATGCTGACAACTGGCATGCTGCTGACAACTGGCATGCTGCTGACAACAACTGGCATGATGCTGACAACAACTGGCATGCTGCTGACAACAACTGGCATGATGCTGACAACTGGCATGATGCTGACAACTGGCATGATGCTGACAACTGGCATGCTGCTGACAACAACTGGCATGATGCTGACAACTGGCATGATGCTGACAACAACTGGCATGATGCTGACAACTGGCATGCTGCTGACAACAACTGGCATGATGCTGACAACTGGCATGCTGCTGACAACAACTGGCATGATGCTGACAACTGGCATGATGCTGACAACTGGCATGCTGCTGACAACTGGCATGATGCTGACAACTGGCATGATGATGACAACAACTGGCATGATGCTGACAACTGGCATGATGCTGACAACTGGCATGCTGCTGACAACTGGCATGATGCTGACAACAACTGGCATGATGCTGACAACAGCTGGCATTATGTTGACAACAGCTGGCATGATGCTGACAACTGGCATGATGCTGACAACTGGCATGCTGCTGACAACAACTGGCATGATGCTGACAACTGGCATGATGCTGACAACTGGCATGCTGCTGACAACAACTGGCATGATGCTGACAACTGGCATGATGCTGACAACAACTGGCATGATGCTGACAACAGCTGGCATTATGTTGACAACAGCTGGCATGATGCTGACAACTGGCATGATGCTGACAACTGGCATGCTGCTGACAACAACTGGCATGATGCTGACAACTGGCATGATGCTGACAACAACTGGCATGATGCTGACAACAGCTGGCATTATGTTGACAACAGCTGGCATGATGCTGACAACAGCTGGCATGATGCTGACAACAGCTGGCATTATGTTGACAACAACTGGCATGATGCTGACAACAGCTGACATTATGTTGACAACAGCTGGCATTATACTGACAACAGCTGGCATTATGCTGACAACATCTGGCATGTTTTTAACTGGCATGATGCTGACAACAGCTAGGTATGATGCTGACAACATCTGGCATGTTTTCAACTGGCATGGTGCTGACAACAGTTGGTATTATGCTGACAACAGCTGGCACTTATTTAACAACATCTGGCATAATATTTACAACATCAAGCACTGAGTGTTTATTGGTCAATACAATTAAGGGTCTAGAATCATATGTCCGGGGCACCTGTGGCGTAAAAAAAAATATCATTTTCTTTTTAATTTTTTTAACGTGAGGTCTCCGTTCTTTGAGATTATATTTATTTACTTGTTACTAACCCCCCCCCCCCCCCCCCCCCAAACCCTGCTCTCTCTCCACCATTTCTCCCTCCCCAGTGTGAAGAAAGCTTGATTGTTTTTTTCTTTAATATCAAATCAACATTATTTCGATTCGTTGTCACGGGTCGCTAGGAAGACATGGGCCTTCTCTGCCCAGTTGGTAACCCGACACAGCCTTTAGCAGTCTAATGGTTATCTAGATTTGCCTGTACTGGAGGGTAATAATACTGGAGGAGAATAAATACAAAGAAAACTAAGATCATGACAAACATTATAAACCAACAACTAGTGACCATAAGTAACCAATCACTTGAAAATGTAGAACATTTTATATATCTTGGCAGTGTGGTGTCCCTACTGGGAGGGACAGAGGAAGACATACAGTCACGCCTGAACAAAGCTAGAACTCCGACTCTACAAGAGCATCATTTTGCCAGTTCTTCTTTATGGAGCAGAATGCTGGAGAATGACCAAAAAGGATATACACAAGCTGTTCACTTTCCACCACACATGTCTACGAAGAATTATCAAAATTTTCTGGTCAGATACAAACACTAATCTCAAACACTAAACTACTTCAAGTCACAAACCAAGAAACTCTAGACAGTATGATAAACAAGAGAAGATGGAAATGGCTTGACCACGTTATGAGAATGAATCCTGATATACCTGCCAAAACATGCATACCAGAGGGAAAGAGAAAAAAGGGGCGCCCAAAAACAAAATGGAGACGAACGATGGAAAGTGACCTGAGTGTGGCATCTTTGACATGGAAAACTGCATTGAAGATTGCACAGGACAGGAAAGCATGGAAAGTCCTCTCTGAAGCCCCATGTGCCACTAGGCATAACGAGAACTGATGGAGGGTCACCAAGTCCTAGGACACTATTGACACCATCAGCAAAAGAAACATAACATTTCAGAAACTTTTATGACGCAACAAAACCAGACATATTGGCCCGCCTACTGTTGTTCACTCATGTGGAAACAATTCATAATGCCAATGCCCTTAACTAATTCTGACATAAACTAATACTGGAAAGTTTAACTGCGTATTTCCCCTGGAGCAATTCATTATAAGTCCATTTGCCACATGTGACCTGTTCTAACAGGCAGCATGCAGTGATACCGGGCTCCCCACTTCTCACTGACCCTCTATATTACCCTTACTCCGTCTCTCACCTTTTCTCGCATGATTTAGTTTGCATGGCATTCTCCCCTCATTCCATCCAACAGAAGTTATAAATGACCATTTAATAATAGTGACAGCACTAAAGTTACAACAGCAAGACAACATTTAAACACACTTATGTAGCAGATATGACAGGAAAGCGACAATTTTTTTCTTTCTTTCTGGGAATGTATGGTTGACACGAGACACGGGGAAGCTCAAAGGCTAGATCTGTGGTTCTCTACAATTTTCAGTTGGCGCGTTCTTGACCCCCACGACTCCTTTCCTATTCAAAATTTACACACACACACACAAATATGATTAAAAAAAGGACAGAAATTTGAAAAACAATATCCACAAAAATCAGAGTAAAAAAAAAAAAAAAAAGTCACCAACAATTGAAAATTTAGTGTCAAAATATCCAGGCGAGGCTTGATATTGTTTTGTCTTAGTGATTAATGCTACTTTTGGTCTGAAGTTGGACAAAGGACAACAGAGATCACTATACGCGCCAAGCTGGATTTCGTGTTTAAAACTTTTATAATTGCGCTCGATTGTTCTTTTAGCAGAACAAGTTATTACAAGCACGAATGCACTCAAATTCAAAATTGCTTGACGCTCACCTTCTAAGCCCTGGCGCCGCTTGAGGGTGGTTGGGGGGGGGGGGAAACCACTAGGTCAGAGTATGCGAGTGATATTTGTCATCACAATTCCTTTATTCCAAATACGCGTACATCGCTGTGCTGATCTGGTACATTCACAGAAGAAGAAAAAATATATATGCTGCAACGAGTGTACTCATAGGAACGAATGACTAGTTACTCTGGAATGAGAATGCTAGGGGTTTCATTTTATTCATGACAACAGCGCATCATCATCATCATCACCATCATGGAGCAAGTCGTTTTTATCACCGCACCATTTAGTCCTTTACCAACATTGCAGCCTCGTGAACTTTCATGCCCAGGCTCTCCTTAATATTATATCCACACCAATATGCCGGTTGGCCCTCTTCTTCCAGAAACCACACTCTCCATGACTGTTCTCTCCAAAATATTATAGCAGTAAAATGTGCAGCTCTTTCTCAATAATCAAATACTAAGGAATGTCACTATTTTTCAGCTGTTTAGTTCGTGAAATTATTAGACTCTTCTTGTAACATTGACGTTCAAAAGCACAAGTTCTCGCATAGCGTCAGTAACTTTGTCCACGGGGAATTAGACCCATTCTTTGGGCTGTGTATGCCCTGCTGACTTTGATCCGCGCTTCACAGATCCACCTGTGTAGGTGATGTCTTCTGTGTGTGAATGCTGATCTTTCAGTGCCCTTACTTCTGTGTCTACGGCCGCAGGAATCTGATCACTGCAGTATCTGACTCAAATGTTTGGGTTAACGTTCTGGCCACGATTTTTTCCAATGAGTTTTCCTAGTCTTCTAGAGTATGATAATTCTGTAGCCACTTATTCTCGCATGGTCTTTCCCTGGCTAAAGGGTCTGAGGTAGCTTTGGAGCCGGTCATCAGGGACAATGCCAGTTTTCATGGTGTTGTTCATTATCCTGTATAGTTCATCTATATCTGTCTCCTCAAAGCTTTTGAAGTAGCAGTATTGCTATTTTGTATTTATTACCTAGAATTTGTAAAAGTTAAAACAAACGAAGCCGGATAATACGGGGTCCGCATAATCGAGGCCCTTCTGTATTTGTTGGTGCTGGGAGTTGCCAGGCTGGGCAAGCGGAAGTAAACAAATCCTGTAAAGCTTCAATCATGGCGGGATGATTTGGTCTCTCCGTGAACTGTGGCCATGGATTTGCAGAGGGAAATCATCACGTCAGTTATTTCAAGATGCAGAGTGTCGTCTGTTCGTGAAACCTTAGCTTGCTGGGACAGACTGAGCAGTTCACAGCTGAATAACTCAGTTTTTAAGAATGGAACTAAACGTAAAATGGTCGAACACCTTGTTGAATTTGTTCAGGTTAGCTGTTACTGTTGTGTTGTTGTAATAGTAATAGTATCTGGTAGTCTGATTAGTTTATAGCTGCTAAGGGATTCGTTGAAAAACAAACTAGTGTTTGCACAGACTATATTGATGGTGGTATCCACCACTAAAATGTTAGTATCGCCGCTTAGAATTGACTAACAGGCTTCACTGAGGTACTGTTGCATACATATACTGGATATTTATATTATTATCATTGCAGTGAGGCCTAAACTATGCATTTCTTAACCCTTTGGAGACTGAACCTTTTTGGAGTTTGTGTTTAGTGCTAATAAAGACGAAGCCTTCAGGGGAGGATTCTCTTAGTTTACACTTACACACCCAAAAAAAAACTATAGAAAAATAAAGCTCGTAATTAACATATATATAATTATATATATTCTGGTAAGAAATTGAATGAACTAACACAGAATATGTATGAATAAAGCTGAAAACGTGTCATCTCCAGAAGGTTAAATACATACGATTGCAATATATGCCTAATTAACATATAAAATTGGCTGCCAGCATACTATATTAAGTAAACACTGACAAAATGTATGGTTATCTGCCAACAAGCCTAGCAAGATATATACGGCATTGTGTGGGTTGATAAGGCAGACATACGGATCACATAAAAAGTTTATATCAGGCTGAAGTGACCTAATTAACAGACACAAAATGGCCACCAACTCGCTAGTTTTTAAGTAAATTATTTAAACAGGTTTAGAATAAAGAAATATTCACTTCATTGCACTTGGTTTTAACCCACATGGCTCGATTTGTCTCGCAAAATGGCTAGACATCTCGTAAGAACAATGCACAAAGCACAACCTCTACAGCCCCAGCAACAAATCCCGGGAAGCTTGCAACATTTCAAAATGCAGACAAATTAGCCACTGTGTAGTCTGCTGTTACTCTGTAGTTTTGACTTGTTTGTAAATACTTCAATGGAGTAGTTGTACAAATGTTGGATGCTATATAACTGATAGTAATTAGAATTCACATACCATATAAATGGGATGTGTTAAACAATTGGTATACATTATCATTGCTGCTGTGTACAGTAATTGATAACCTGCTCTTTGTGGGTGAGTATGTACTATTTCTATGATGTTATTTACTAATACAGAAAAATGTGCTTTTGTTGATTTGTGTTGGAATATCCTGAAAGGGAGACTCTGGATTGTTGTGTGTGGAAGGAAGAATGATACTGATGCGTGTCTGTTGTTAAATTATTGTATCCCTGGCTTTTTTCTGTAAACAAAGGTGCATGTACTCACCAGACAGTCATTGGTTAAAAATTATTAAAAAAAAAAAAAAAAAAAAAAAGCTAATGTAATAGTTGTAGTTTAGTATGTATGAGAGCTTAATTACTAAACATGTTCAGACAATATGGCCTAGTGGATGAAATTATCAGAGGCTGTAGGTGCTCTGGTTAAACAAATAAAAAAACAACACAACACACACACAAAACAATTTCTTAGACAAATCTGTCGGCTTAAAATAAGGACTTTTGCATTTAAAATAAATTGCTGTAATGGCTGCAGATTTCATTAAAAAAACAACAAAAAAAACTTATATAACTGGCATTTTATTCATAATTATTTTAACTTAATTACAAAATGCTTAAGATAAAAAAAAATTTAACATTTTCTTTGAGGGATTTCTTCTTCCTCTTCCTCTAAATCTTCTTCTGCCAATAAAATGGTGGTTAGTATTGTGTATTGTGGTTTACAGCAGGGCTGTGTTGTCTCTGCCTGTGTGCCCAAGAGATCTAATCTCAGTGATTCCTTCATGAGTCCCCTTTGATGACATGCTTGTTGGGGGGCAACAGGTCTTCTGTTCCCCAGCCTGGAACCCACACAGAGACTGGGAGATTTCAATTGTGTGCTCAGCACTTGATGTTAACAGCACTTGATGTTAACAGTGCTTGGCTAGAATCTGCCGTTAACTAGGGACCGTGAATTATGTTTGCCTTAGCTTATTTAAGCAGTAGATCAGGCTAAATCCCCAGTCAGTTAGAGACTTACACTTCTGTGGTGTTGGACCGCCCTTATTATATGGGTGCCATACATTTCTCTGTAACGAAAGGTAATGGTCACTCAAACTCATGTACACTGATCTGGATCTATGATTTCTCACTTCTACACCCGTATGCTAATTTTTTTGTAGTGAACTGTTGTTATCTTGTTGCAGGAAAATCGGTTGAATGATGACATTCTTGGAGACTTGGAGCTGGTCTGTAAGTATCTGCTATCTCCATTTGTCTGGTCCTGTCACTGAAGTAAAAGATTTTATTGTATGATGTAATGTTTGATTACAAACATGGTGCCATGTGGATCTTTGAGGAGTCTCTGTTGTATGTTCTCATACTGTCGTAGCTTTCTTAACATGTTTTGTATGCAGTATTTTGTTCAAGTTTTTCTTTAGTATTTCTTAGTCCAAGGATCTTAAACTTGTAAATGTGAAACCCACATTGTATACTGGACATAATTGTGAGGAACATACGAGAAAAAGAACCCCTGTTCTGTACAGTTTCCTCTTGAGTAAATAGGATACAAGGATTTAAAAGGGGGTGGGGGACTTATATATATTTTAAGTTACTGTATAAATTGTGTAGTGAACTGGACATAGCTCATAAGTTTTAGTTTGGGGTATCCTGTCTTAGTCTTTAAAAAAATCTCTCATATGAGATTATTTTAATTTTAAATTCATGATAACTAGTTTTGTACCCCCCCCCCCCCCCCCCCCCCCCCCCCCCCCCCCCCCCCCCCCACCCCCCCCCCCCCCCCCCCCCCCCCCCTCCCCCCCCCCCCCCCCCCCCCCCCCCCCCCCCCCCCCCCCCCCCCCACCTTTTTTCCAACCCTGTCAATTTGGCAATTTTGTTGCTATATGTTTCAGATATGCAACTACATTCAAGGCGCAAAATCTGGCTGGTGTACCAACTGTTAGGTGAGTCAGTTGCTGTGGAAATCCTGTAGATTTTCAACTAAACATGTTGACATTCAGGTGAAGTAACTTGCCTTGTTTCTACAGGAGCACACAACCATCTGTTATAAACATTCATGTTATTTCATCTAACTTACATAGTTGTTCTGTTTCTGCTGTTAATAACCCGATGTGATCTCTTAAGGAGTCAATGTGGTAAGAAGCAGATGAAAATTGTTAGTTGATTAGAGAAATTAGACATAGACGATAAACATGGTTTTCTCATGTGATGAAGAGAACTACACTTGAAAACTCACTGACAGCTCACCAGTTGGATGAGAAAATAAGATAAAATGATGCATGGCCTGACTATGTAGCAACAGTCTAGACTACATTCCAGTCCAGCTGGTGATTGTGTGAGATGATTGTCCATGCTTATTGGTACAGCACATGATACAAGATGTATGTACACAGATATGAGATGACTGACTATGGCTATCCATGACTATGGCTATCCATGCCTATTGGGCATGATACAAGATGTAGTGTGTACACAGATATGAGATGACTGACTATGGCTATCCGTGCCTATTGGGCATGATACAAGATGTAGTGTGTACACAGATGTGAGATGAATGACTGGTAGTCTATGCTTATTGGTACAGCACATGATACAAGATGTAGTGTGTACACAGATGTGAGATGAATGACTGGTTGTCTATGCTTATTGGTACAGCACATGATACAAGATGTAGTGTGTACACAAATGTAAGATGACTGGTTGTCCATGCTTTTTGGTACAGCACATGATACAAGATGTAGTGTGTACACAAATGTGAGATGACTGGTTGTCTATGCTTATTGGTACAGCACCTGATACAAGATGTAGTGTGTACACAAATGAGAGATGACTAGTTGTCCATGCTTATTGGTACAGCACCTGATACAAGATGTAGTGTGTACACAGATGTGAGATGACTGGTTGTCCATGCTTATTGGTACAGCACCTGATACAAGATGTAGGCTCAGGTTGTACACAACTTATGTCCAGCTGAGATAACTGGCATACATTTACAAATACACCATTTTATTACTTCTGTCCTTCTTTGCTTTTAAAATAAGCACTTTTAAAATACTACTGCTGACTCATTCATTTGTCAAATTGTATGTATTCATGTTTTTTCCCCATCATTCTGAATGGCTGCATTGACTTGAGTTAAAGCCAGCATCATCGCACTCAGGACATTTCCATAAATGCTCTTTCTCAGTCTTCAGCAGCAAGCACAAAGTTCCAGCTCCTGTGTTACCAGTAACAGTCTGTTTGTATGTCTATCTCATCCCTCCCCTTGTGTGTTGAGATCGGCCGGCTCCCCTAGTCACTCCCGGTGGCATCATTCTCTTCAGACTGTGATGATCTGTTTGTGCCTCCTCACTGTTCACTTGCTTGAAGAGGGCTTTGACAACATCTAGCTTGTCATGCATCACTCTTCCAGAAAGTGATGCAGAACCTGTCAAGCTGTATGTATGTTCCTTTCCCAACACACCTGCACACTCTGGAGAAAATATCCCACTCTGCTAAATACCAGAGATCTGTGAACTGATACTTGCCACTCTGCATGGAACATATCTATCTCCACCTTTCTCAGCATGCTGTGTGCATCAGGTACAATCATGACATGTATGCAGCTGGTTATCAAGCCAGCGGAAGGTTCATTCTGAATAGAATTCATTCTGTGTACTGATCAGTATCTTAGACAGACATCTGCCAAGTATTTAACTGTTATAGCTGCTGATTAATAAGGGAGGGGGCACAAAAACCAGTTAGTCTTTTGGAAAGTTTTTATTACAACTCACGTTTTCAGGCCCAGAAAGAGAGGGACTTCACTTCCTAATCATAAATCGCTGTGTTGCACAGTGTAATGACTGCCCTTTTGTGTCTCCTCCACACTGACTATCTGTGGTGCAGAGTTAACACTGGCTCTAATATCTAGAGGTTCACAACTCAATCAACGCAGACATGATCCTCTTCATGGTCACACAACGACTAACAACGGTTAACACCAGCGGCACATTTCACGAGTTTATTTACACGTTAGCTCAATACACAAATCACAGGTGAATCCACTTACAGCATTCGGACAATAGACGTTGACATATTCACAGCTGGCTTTCTCGATCATTCATTCCTCGCCGATTCAAATCCACATGCTCTAGTCATTCTCCATTCATCTTCACAGCTTCATTTTCCATCCTTTCTCTCTGGGGCCCAGTCACCGAATGCCCGCCTGATTCTCAATCCCCCAGATCTCCTCATTCACACGTGACACACTCTTTCCTGTCGTTTCACCATATCTCCGTGAAACCCATGCTCTCAGGGGCTTCCCCAGTTATGCCAATCATCCCCTGACATTATCCCTATTTATAACATCATTACATCTCTCCTCCCCTTAAACAAAAAAAAAAATATGCAATATTTTTTTTTTTTTTTTTCCATAAACCTATATAAATTTCCATATAAGAATATATTGCCTTATTTTACTAATATGTTTACTGTTGGCTGGAATTCTACCATTGGTTCTCTGACTTGTACCACATATGCAGCATCTCTTGTCACTCCCCTTGACAGTTCTTGGCAATATGCTAACAGAATCACCTCCCCAAAGCGTTCCTCAACAACGCGGATGACCTTATAGGCTCTGTGACGTACTTATCAAGTCCTGAAGTCAGTCTACCTAAAGAAGACTGAACAACACCCCAAAGCGTTCCTCAACAACGCGGAAGTCCAAAAATGGCTCCAAAACCAGACTTATAAATCACACAGTTCTGTATGTCCCCCATAGAACCAAGTTCCTGTTGACAGTTCATTCAAAGTGATTGCTACTCCTTGTTGGTCTTCGTCATTCACCATGGTTTATACCAAAGCTTTACCAGAATTTTCTCATTTTAGCATTGTGGCAATTTCATTTTCTGTTTGTACACTATATCATAGATATTTCCAAATTTCTATATCTGTAATTTACTGTTAATAAAATTTCTATTATAACCTAATGTGTCTGTTGTTTTATTATGAACTCATACACCATCCCTCAGTGTTATTTTGAATTCATACACCATTCCTCATTATCACTTTCACATCATAACTTTCATACCATCACATTATACAACATTTATTTTATTTGAATATTAATTGTTAGTAACAACACGTTTATTGAACATTTGTTAGTAATGTTAGACTGTTACTTATAATTATCTCCCTTTTCTATTTAACTCCCTTTGTGATTATTTCTGTTTACTTGTCACCTATAATTATCTCCCTTTTTTATTTAACTCCCTTTGTGACTATTTCTGCTTACTATCTTTATAACCGAGACATAATATCTGGAATGTGGTTGTCAACCCCTTTTACGTGCATAATGTCAAATTTAAACTGTTGCAGTAACAATGCCCAGCGGTAAACTCTAGCGTTTTTATTAGCATCTATGTTCTGCAGTTTTACCAATGCAAGATTATCTGTGATGATTGTAAATTCTTTGCCGATTAGGAATTTTTGAAATTTTTTCAAACTGATCACTACAGCTAATGCCTCTCGCTCGAACGCACTATATTTCTGTTGCGCTTGGGTGAGTTTTTGTGACATATAATATACAGGTAATAAAACATTAGAATGTAACTGAGCTAGCATTGAACTTATGGTATGCAAACTCGCATCAGACTGTAAATAAAATCTTTTTGATATGTCTGGCTGTCTGAGAATTGGGAATGTGGAAAAAGTTTCTTTAATTTTTTGTAACAATTCGTCATGTTGTTGCTCCCATTTTAGTTTTGTTGGTTGTCCCTTTTTTAACAGTTCAAATAACTGAAAGGTTAGGTCTGCGAGATTGGGGATAAACTTTCCATAATAGTTAATAAGACCTAACAACGACTGTAGTTGTTTTCTATTTTTTGGTTTTCCAATCTTTAATATTTTTGATACTATTTTATCGTCTGTCTGTATTTTGTTATCATACACTTTATGTCCCAAAAATTCGATAGTTGTGAACGCAATTTCAGTTTTGGTTGGATTTACTGTAAGATTTGCTTCTTGAATTCTCTGAAATACTTTCTCTAACGTTTGGAGATGTTTTGGCATATTGTCAGTATGAATACAGATATCATCCATGTATGCTACTACGTTTTCAACGTTGTTTAACAGTTTTCTTATCATTTTGGTGAAAATTTTTGGCGCATTTAAAATTCCAAACGGAACTCGTAACCATTCTTTTAAGCCTAATGGTGATTGAAAGCTGGTATATTGTATTGATGTCTCTGCCATTGGTATTTGCCAGTAACCTTTACATAAATCAAGTTTTGAAAAAATGTTGGATTTATATAAGCTCTGAAGAATATCTTCTGTGCTTGGAATTGGTTCTGAATCTAATTCTGTGATGCTATTGAGTTTCCTGTAATCTACACATAATCTAAGTGACTGATCTTTCTTTTTTACTATCACCAATGGTGAGCTATATGGAGAAGTTGAATCTCTAATTATTTTGTCTTTTTGGAGTTGTTTAATTTCGTTTGTGACCTTGTCCAAATAATGCAGAGGTATCGTGTAATTCCGTGATCTAACTGGGATATCTGTCTTTAACTGAATTTCATACTCTATCAAATTTGTTCGTCCAGGTTTTGTAGTGAATATCTCCTTGAATTTTGAAATGATATTTTGAACTGCATTTTTATCTTGTTCATTTAATTGTGAGTTTATTTTGATGTCTCTCCAATCTTTACTTTTCTCCAGTTCTAGAGTAGGAATTTCGTCCTCTACTGCATCTATCATTTCTTCGTCCACTACGTTACATGCATTTGATTCTTGTACCTCTTCTTTTTCGTCTATCACTGACCTTCGAATGTATTTCTTTAACATATTGAGATGAAAAATTTTCTTTTTGTTGTTCTTTAGGATTTCGTAATCCACATCAGATATTTTTCTGGTCACCTTGTACGGACCTGACCATTCAACTAATAGTCTGTCTGACTTTGCTGGT